TTTAGTAGTGTTGATATAATTGAATTGAATGTAAATATTATATTTCTAAATTTTGCGTAATTCAATATTGTAAAATTAAAAAAAAAAAAAAAACTCTCTGCACAGTGCGAAGAGAGTTAAACCAAGTGCGAAGTAAAAATAAAAAAAGGTGCGAAGAGAAAAAAAACTTCTCCGCACAGTACAAAGAGAGTTGAACAATGTGCTGTGCGGAGAGTTGGCAAACTCTCCGCACTAACTCTTCGCACAGTGTGGAGAAAAAAAACTCTCCGCACAATGTAGAGAAATGACAAACCAACTCATGAAGTTTATATATACTAAATTTTTTTTTTAATGTTGTTGACATGATGCGTGTGTGGAAGAATATTTTTCAATCACCATAAACAAAATTTTTCACAAAATGCATAATAAATCTTCTTATTACATTAATAAAATTACAATAATTTTTTTTTACAAATAATATAAAAAAAATCATTTTTATCTTCAACAAAAAAACACATTTAAAAATTATTAATTTCATAACCACTTTTTTTTTTTATTCTCGAATATACAATTATAAAAAAGGAAACAATATTGAATTACAACATTTAATGCTTAAGAAATTCAATATTAAATAAATTTTATACATTTATAACAAATTATAAATCCATATATGCAGCTTATCGTATTTGTAGGTAGCTTACCGTATATACAGTTTACCGTATATGTTGTTTACCGGATTTGCACCTTACCGTATATGCTGTCTATCGTATTTGCAGCCTACCGTATTTGCAAACAACTTATCGTATTTTCATCTTACCGTATTTGCAGCTTACTGTATTTTTATATACCGACTTTTGCACTTACAAATACCTAGAACACCGTACATTCACTTATCAAATCGAATTTTAAAAAAAAATTCAGATTTTTATTTTTTCAATATAAGCATAAAATAAATATTAAATGTATATGAAGCACAAAATATAAATGCATATGAATATGGTGCTCAATCTTCCAATTTTCAATATTGAATTACACAAAATTTAGAAATATAATCTTCACATTCAACTCAATCATATCAGCACTATCAAAGAATACAAGCAAAATAATTTGTATAATATCGTATATTTCTTATTCAAGTATATTTTTTTCTAGATGACGCAATATTATTTTACAATTGTAAAAATAATTTGTAATTATTTTATTATATTATGGAAATATTTCTAGATATTATTTAAAAAACTTTCCAAAAAATTAAAATTCATAAACTAATAAAAATATGATGAATACAAAATTCGTGTGCAACGCACATGACAGTCACCGTGTGGAGATTTTTTTTTTTACTTCGCATTGTATGGAGAGTTTGTACATGGTTTGTCATCTCTTCGTACTATGTGAAGAGTTTTTTTCTTCCTTTTTTACTTCGCACATGGTTTGTCATCTCTCCGCACTGTGCGGAGAGTTTATTTTTATTTTATTTAAAACTCATGTGTGAAGCATTTTTTTTTTGCTCATAACAGTTTATATTTACTAAAATTATTATTTTTTTTTTAATGCTAGTGACATGATGTGTGGAAGAATATTCGTTTTGACATAAACAAAATAAAAAATGACATCATGTATAGTAAAATTGGATTAATTTACTATTACATCAATAGTAGATCTTCTTTCCCCTTTTTATTAAAAGTTAGATATGCAAAGCACAGGGACACCCACATAATCACACAAATCATTCGATGTCAATTTCTTTTGTGTTTCTGTCTGTTCGTCTCCTTTCTCTCTCTTTCTTGTAGGGTCTCTTTGCTTTCTCGGAGTCTCAATTCTTTGTCCATATTTTTCCAATTAAAACGAGCTTCAAATACTTATTGGGTTTCTGAATAAGTTTCGTATGATGGCTGAGGGCAAAGAAAAATCAACTGAATTTGAACGGAGGATCAACATCAATGTTGTTACTGATGTCACAAATATTGGGCAATTTCATATAAATTTGGAGTGCATTAATATTTTAGTATATTTTTTCTTTAATATTGTTCAAGATTGTAGCCTACCAATCATGGGATGTGTGCATAATGTTTTTTTAATTAATCTTCTTGATTAATTGGATTTTTTGTAACGGTCCGAGCCTATATATCCAAACCGTTAACTTACAAACCCAAGATCTTTATGTTACGAGAAATATAAGTTGATACCTAGTATCAGTGGGATAATTCATATTATCCGGGAGCTAATATTTGTCGTTTTTGGGTTAAAAAGTAAGTTGTCAAATTTTTTGTAATTACGTAACACTGGTGGACTGAAACTTGAGAGATTAAAAGACAGGTGGTCTTGCATCTAAATATTTGTGGTTGCTATTGACTAGTTGAGCTGTGGCAGACGTTATATTTTGATGGAATGGACAAACCCTAGATATCAGTGAGGAATGAGAACTAATTAATGATTTCAAATTTGGCTTTAAGACAAAAGTTGTGTAGGGCTCAAAAGAAGGGAGGAATAAAAATTTTGAAAAAAAGAGGAATTCAAAAAACAAAAATTCCTAAATTTCGTGGTGTCAATGGACTACGCATGACACCATGTGGCTCCGTCACGGTAGTATGAACTAAATTATAGAACATCCCATGCATATATAAATTTTTATTTAGTAGATTATTTTAGTTAGTTGATTTATGAATGATAACTCAATTTTTGATGCCAATGATGTTGTTTTGGACATATCAAATTCCTTAAGAATGTCAACAATTTCTACTGATTGGGTTGATCGATTGTTCCACCAGGTAATTTTCTTAACATTGGAATCAATGTATTTGATTATCAAGGTTAGCGCGGCTTTTTTTTTTTTTTTTGATACCGAGGTGTCCACCTTACAGCAACTAATTCTGTGGTCTACGATCCAGCCCCTCTTCACGTAGATCAGGTAAATCGCGGGTTGTACCCCAAACTGGCCAGGGTCCAAGAGCCCCCCCAACTAAACTGCCAAAGTGCCGAGCGAGTCAAACTCATGTATGCGCCTTGCCTTCCAAGAAACTCCTGCCTTCCAGGAAATATCCTGCCTTCCAGAAGAAAGCCTTGCCTTCCAAAAGTCTCATGAATCGAACCCGCGACCTCTTACTTCTGTATCCGCTTTTGAATATGCTCACTTGTACTAGGTTATCTTAAATAATTGCGTAAATTTGTGTATCTTTTGCTGCAGATTCAGTGGCTTTAGAAGACGTACTTGTCTGACGTGATTGTATTGTATAGGAGAGCTCTAGAATCGATTTGTCAGGTATCAATTCAACTTCAACTAATTTGGTATAATTGTAAACCTTTTTCATTGTGATTTTTTGCTAATCCTACATATTATGAATCTGTGGTGCAGGCAATCAATGCTGAGGTGGCAACAAAAGCTAAAAGGTGTAGAGTTTTTCTAGGAAAGATTGTTGGAGTCGAACCTTGTTCTCTTCAATTGATGCTTCCAAAATTTGACTTGTGACAAAATCGTATTTATGTGAAACACAACTTAATAAGTGATGACAACTTATTGGATGGCCAACACATGGACTATCTTTGGACGTTGGATGGAGCCGGTTCATCTACCCTTTGTTAAAAATGTGTAGCCTTCTGGAACGTCATATTACACCCTTCATTTTGCTCTCGTCTCTAGGGTTTTCAAAGAGAAAATATTAGCGATCTGAGAGATGATCATCTTCTTTGAGTGTTTATTTTACGTACAGTATAGTGAAATCTTCCTTCGATTTGTTGTATTCTGTGTGAATAGTGAAGAAATCTGAGTGATTTCTCTGTTGTAACATTGTGGTGGTGTTCGAAGGTTTTGAGGGCTGAGATTTGAGTGAATCTCTGTAGATCCATCAATATACTTGAGAGATAAGTCTCATTTTCATCTTTCTGAACAATCTGTAATTTTTGTTGCCATTTTGGGCTGTCTAGTGCAACCGAACATAATCCAAATCTTTGGATGCTCAACGGGGGATGTAGGCGTTAGAAGTGGTTGCTGAACCTCGGGGCTTAGGCCGAAATAATTCCGTTGCGTTCTTTTAATTTTCTGCAACTTTATTTCTGTTCGATTAAGGTTTTTTTGTTTCTTGAATTTAATATCGTGTGATCCTGCCTTTACACTGGTATCAGAGCCACGTTCTAAGGAACAAGATACCTGGATCTTAGAGAAACTAGTGGACCTACAAGGGTCTTGAATTTTTGGAACTGCTAAAAAGGCAGATTGAGAACAACTCAAGTTATTCAACTCACTCGGTGAGATCTTTTTCATTTTCCGTATATTAACTTTCAAAAACTTGTGTTTCCTGAACTTTTCCTTGATTTTTCGGTGCACCATTGAAACCCCCTTGAGACTAATCTTTGTCCAGTGGCTCCTGCGAGATCCCTGGAATCTGAGATAAATCAAGTACGAGTGTGCACTTGGAGAATCTTGCTAGAGAGATCTGTGAAACCTTGTATTCAATCTTTGTGATTGTTGTCTGTTAATTGATCTTGCATGTTCTCTTCTAATATTGCAAGAATTGCGAAATCCTATATTACTGTGTGTTCTACCGTGCTTCAAATTTGACACAAATTAGTATTTTTTTGACTTCCTGTTTAAACTGCTGCAAGCTCTAGCTGATCTCTGTGTGAAAATTTGTCTGCATTATGGCTACTACTAAATTTGAAGTTAGTTAATTTGATGGTAAAATTGATTTTGATATATGAAGTCAGAAAATGAATGCAATTTTGATGCAAATGAAATGTGCCAAGGCTTTAGATGATTAATGGCCTGAGGGTTAGCTCCTAATAAGAAATATGAACTTGAGGAAATTGCTTGGAGTACCATATTTCTATATTTGTCTGATAATGTGATCAGAGAGGTAGGTGAAACTACTACTGTCTCTGATCTTTGGGCCAAACTTAAGGTTAAGTATGAGACCAAAACTACTCCAAACAAATGTTTTCTTTTAAAACAATTCTTCTCTTTTAAAATGGATCCTACAGTTGATTTAGAAGAAAATATTAGTAGGTTTACAAAACTTACTCAAGACATGGCCAATTGTGATGAAAACCTTTCAAAAGATCAATTGGCTGTAGTCCTGTTAAACTTCATTAGTGACAAGTATAAGGACATTAAAGTTGCCCTTGAATATGGAAGAGATGAACTCACTCTTGATGTTATAACCAATGTTTTGAGAAATAAGGCTTTAGAAATCAAGGCCGAGTCAAGTAACAGTCACACTGGAACTAGTTTTTTAATTAAGGAAAAATCTTTTGAAAAACCTACACAAAATTTTAAGGTTTCAAAAGCAAATAAGAGATGGGTTGATAGGAGTAAGACCAAGAATAATGCAAAAGGTAAAAAAACGTTATTATCGTGGCAAACTTGGTCATTTTGCAAAGGATTGTTTTAAAAAGAAAAATGATTCAAAAGAAAAAGGTCTTGATGGAAGCAATGCATAGGCCTATGATAAAACCAAAACAGAAAATGGTTTGATTTTAGTAAGTGCTGAAAAATGCCTAAGTGATGAATGGATACTGACTCAGGATGCTCCTTTCATATGTGCCTCAACAAAAATTGTTTTATAAATCTAGAAAGAAATAAAGGGGGGCAAGTTATAATGGGCAACAACTTTGCATGTAAAGTGAGTGGAATTGGGACTGTCAAATTATTATTAGAAAATGGTAATGTTTTGTTCCTTGAGAACACAAGACATGTCCCAGATTTGAAAAGAAATTTAGTGTCCTTAGAATATTAGATGATAAGGAGTTTAACATAATTATGGATCAAGAACATATAAAAATTCTTAGGGAAAATGACTGGGTCACTTCAGCCCCTAAGAGACATGGCCTTTATTGCTTGAATGCAAAATCTGTGCTTGGATTACCTGCTTCTGTTGTATCTGAAAGTTTACTTTGGCTAAATTGTGGCATGAAAGGCTTGGTCATATTGGTAAAAAGGGTTTGAATATTTTGCAATCAAAAGGTGTTTTTGGAAAACATAATCTTGGTGATTTTGGCTCCTGTGAACACTGCATTTTGGGAAAGCAAGCTAAACTTCCTTTTCAAAGTGGAATTCATAAATCCAAACAAGGACTTGAGTACTTGCATGCTGATTTGTGGGGTCTTGCTTCTGTCTCTACTTTAACAGGTTTTAAATATTTTTTGCTAATAGTTGATGATTTCTCAAGAAAAATTTGGGTTTATCTACTAAAGTCTAAAGATGAGACATTTTCTGTTTTTAAGAACTGGAAAACTCAAGTTGAAAATCAAGTTGATCTTAAAATAAAATATTTAAGAATTGATAATGGCTTGAAATTTTGCAATTATGAATTTGATAATCTTTGTAAGGAATATGGCATCATGAGACACAAAACTGTTCTACACACACCACAACAAAATGGAATGGCTGAAAGAATGAATAGAACTGTGTTGAATAAAGTCAGATGTATGCTATTAAGTTCTGGACTGCCTAAAATATTTTGGGGTGAAGCAGTTAAAACTGCAGCTTATCTGATTAATAGAAGTCCTACTAGTGCTCTAAACTTTGCTGTTCCTGAATATGTGTGGTCAAATAGTCCTGTAAATTACTCTTATCAGAAAGTATTTGGTTGTACTGCTCATGCGCATCAAAATATTGGTAAATTAGAACCAAGATCATTAAAATGTGTTTTCTTGGGTTATGATAAACGGGTTCAGTTTGAAAAAGGTTATAGAGTAATAATTAGAAATGATGTAATCTTCAATGAATCCTTGATGCCATGTCTTGAAGGAAAAGAAAATGATTTGACTGAAAAAGATGTTCAAATTGAGGTGAAGCCCTCCTACAGTAACTAGAATATTTTTGTAACTACTGCAGAAGAAAATGAAAATGAAGAACATGTTATTTTACCTGAAACTGAAATTGAAACTAAACATGTCGAAGAGGATGATTCCGCAGCTCTCCCCTTTGATGAGTATCAACTCACAAGAGATAGGGAGGGGAGACAAATCAGACTCTCTACTAGATTTGATAGTGACGCCTTTGTATCCTTATTTACCTACCAAGACCTTACTGAAAATGAGTCATACTCCTTTGAAGAAGCCATGAAATGTAAAGAAAGGAAAAATTGGAAGATGGCCATGGAAGATGAAATTTCTTCACTCCTTAAGAATAAAAACATGGATATTAGTTGATAAACCCAAAGGACAAAAATTAATTGATTGTAAGTGGATTTATAAGATAAAATCTGGAGAAGGTGATAATAAAAATGTTAGCTATAAAGTTAGACTTGTAGCAAAGGATTTCACACAAAAAGAAGGTGTGGATTAGACTGAAATTTTTTCTCCTGTTGCCAAGTATGTTACCATCAAATGTCTGCTTGCACTTGTTACACAATTTAAATGGGAACTTGATCAACTAGATGTTAAGACTGCTTTCATGTATAGGAAATTAGATGAAATAATATACATAAGACAACCGGTTGGTTTTGAGGAAGGTGATCCTGAAAACATTGTTTGTTTGTTTAAAAAAATCCTTGTATGGTCTAAAGCAGGCACCTAGGCAGTGGTACAAAAGATTTGACATTTTTGTCTTGAAACTTAGATTTAAAAGAAGCCAATATGATACTTGCTTGTACTGCAAAGGTAGTGGAGTTAAAAACTCATTATATCTGATCCTCTATGTGGATGATATGTTGTTGGCTAGTTCTGATAAATCAAAAATTGATGATATTAAATAAAAGTTAAGTTCTGAGTTTGATATGAAAGACCTTGGTGCTGCTAAAAGAATATTGGGCATGCAGATTTGGAGAAACAAGGATAAAGATATGTTGTTTTTAAATCAATGTGATTATGTGTCTAAAATCTTGAAAAAATTCAACATGTATGATTGTAAGCTTGTGACACTATCTCTTGCTAATCATTTTAGATTGTCTTCTAAATTTTGTCCTAAATCTGAAGATGAATATGTCAGAATGTCAAAAATTTCATATGCTAATGTAATTGGTTCTATGATGTATTTTATGATATACACCAAACCTGATCTTGCATAAAGTATTAGTATCTTAAGTAGATTTATGAGTAACTCTGGTGAAGAACATTCACATCATTTAAAATGGTTATTAAGATATCTTAGGGGATAATTAAATTTAGGCTTAATGTTTGAATCAGATAAAAATGGAATAAGTTTGAAAGGGTATACTAATTCTGATTTTGCTAGCAATAGAGATAATAGAAAATCAATCTCATCTTATTTTTATACATTGTGTGGTACTGCTATCAGTTGGAAATCTCAACTTCAGAAAGTTGTGGCTTTGTCCTCAACTGAGGCAGAATATATAGCTATAACTGATGCTGTTAAAGAAGGGATTTGGTCGAATTGTTTATTGTCTGAAATGGGTTTCGATGATAATCACATTGTGCTGTTTTCTGATAACCAAAGTGCTATTCACCTAAGCAAAAATCCCATGTTTCATGATAGATCGAAACATATTGATGTCAAATACCATTTTATAAGAGATATAATTTCAAAAGGTGAAATTAAGATTGAAAAAGCTTCTACTCAGTTTAATCCATCTGATATGGGTACAAAAGTAATTCCTTTAAACAAATTCTTAAACTGCTTGAAATTTTTATCTGTTGATTCTCTGTGATTCATGTACAGGTACTTAGAGCAAATGAAAAAAACATAAGATCATGCTCCTGGCTACACTAATAGCTCAAATTCTAGCAGCAATGTGGAGATTGTTGGAGTTGAGCCTTGTTCTCTTCAATTGATGCTTCCAGAATTTGCCTTGTGACAAAATCGTGTTTATGTGAAACACGACTTAATAAGTGATGACAACTTATTGGATGGCCAACACATGGACTATCTCTAGACGTTGGATGGAGCCGGTTCATCTACCCTTTGTTAAAAATGTGGAGCCTTCTGGAACGTCACATTACACCCTTCATCTTGCTCTCATCTCTAGTGTTTTCAAAGAGAAAATATTGACGATCTGAGAGATGATCATCTTTTTTGAGTGTTTCATGCGTAAAATCTCTGATTTTACGTACAGTATAGTGAGATCTTCCTTCGATTTGTAGTATTCTGTGTGAATAGTGAAGAAATCTAAGTGATTTCTCTGTTGTAACATTGTGGTGGTGTTCGAAGGTTTTGAGGGCTGAGATCTGAGTGAATCTCTGTATATCCATCACTATACTTGAGAGATAAGTCTCATTTTCATCTCTCTGAACAATCTGTAATTTTTGTTGCCATTTTGGGTTGTTTAGTGCAACCGAGCATAATCCAAATCTTTGGATGCTCAATGGGGGATGTAGGCGTTAGAAGTGGTCGCCGAACCTCTGGGACTTAGGCCGAAATAATTCCTTTGTGTTCTTTTAGTTTTCTGCAACTTTATTTCTATTCGATTAAGGTTTTCTTGTTTCTTGAATTTAATATCGTGTGATCCTGTCTTTACAAAGATAATACGGTTCCTACGGATGTCAAGAACTGATCTTATGCATTGTAGCGAAGGGATGGTTCAGCGATTTATGAGTCAAATCGTTTTGTGCGTCCAACGAGCTAAGGCCATGAATTTGGCTACTCTGCAGAACCATTCAAGAATACCGACTCTGCAGCAAAATGGATATTGTCTTCAATTCTATGAACCTGATCCGATCCAAAATCATACATCTATGGATGCACCCCAGCTATTGATGCAGCAGAGTACTTTAAACTTGCAAGCAAGCTGTGTTAACCTCCAATCTCAGTTTGGATCCTCAACAGGGCTGCAAAATTCTGATCCTTCGCACTCTTTAATGCAGCTTGAGCCGAAGGATTTGTCATCACAATTATTTGGATGTACACCACCTTTCATATCCACCGCATCACCATCTGCCGTCCCTTCTTCTTCGACTCCATCTTCTATACTAGAAGATCAAGAGAAGGGTCCTTTAAGCTTGCATCCGTTATCCCTCGAGGAGAGTAACAGAGTTACCAAGGCACCTATTGAACCATCTCCTTGTCTCTGCGAGTCTCCGTGTAAGGTTGACTATCAGTCATCAAATTCTGAAGCAGATCCATCACAGCGCTTGATTAAATAGGTTCGTTGATTATTCTTACCTTAATATCTCTCTCTTTGAACACTTTTACTTTCATCGAGTATATATTCCTCCTTTCCCACCTTGAATAGGTAAAATTTTATCATCTCCCCCCGTTATTTATATGCTATCTCCTTTTGGTTTCATTATTACAGCCTAATGATATGCTACTACAAGAAATCAGAGAAATCAACGAGAATCTTATTGAAACGGTGGTGGATGTATTAGATGTGGAAGATATTTCTCAGACTGGATGTATTAAAGAACCGTTGTTGGATGCTCCTACAATGGAGTTCAATGCAATGGGAATGTTAATATGCTGAATGCTTCAAAGCAACCGGTAATGCACTCTTTTAGCATGTCGTGATAGTGCTCAATAAAATCATTGATTACATTGTCGAGTCTAATTCAGTCTTGTCTAGTACTACATATCAATATCGTGCTAATTAAGCTTGTAACTTAAATTTCGCTTTTCTGGCTTACGGTTTCCAAGCCTGCTTCTGGAATTGATTGTGCCTGCTAATTATCCTAATTCTTCTCCAATAATTCTGGAAAGATTTCACCCTGGCTGTAGGTGAGAAATTGAATTATTTATGTCTTTTCATAATTTGATATTCAATTATATGCATTTATTCAGAAAAATCGATGTTTATTAATGTGTGTTCTCTCTGCAGTGCGCCCGAAGAAGTG